ATAAAAAACATGGTCCAGTGTCCAGGAGCTCTACTGACACTTTGCCAGAAGCTTTTCTAAAATGCATCTGTAATTGTCATGAAACTCACCTGGCGTTTCCATGGGACTTATTACTACTTTTCAGCATCCTAAATTACAGGTAAGTTTAATAATAGCTGCAAAGAAATGATAGGTATGTAGCAGATAAGCTCAACGTGAGATCAGTTTAAGTTCATGTAAGTTCCAGGAAAGCTGCTTGCTGTTTACATGAAAGGTACAGAAAACTTCCAAGAATTTATCTTGATAAAAAACAAGCAAGATTTTTGAGCATGTCATGCAAGTTCCACAAAAGCGTCTTCAAGTTGCAGAACGTAACCTCTAGAGTTTCATTAAAACACAAGCCGTAATATGCAATGCAATAGATAAGAGAACAGACACATTTATGGCACAAAAAGATGTCTTTACTAGTTTATTGATTTATTAGTAATGTTTACTCTGCTTCTTTGTGAGGTGGAAGATGAAAAGATTAGAAAGATGTTTCATAGTATACGTTTTAATAAATGCCGTTCCCGTTTCAGTGTAGAATAAACATCGATGATGTGCCGGCTGCCACCATGTACGACGTTATTCATGACGGTCAGTACCGTAAGGAATGGGACACCAACATGATAGAGAGTTACGACATCGGCCGGCTCTCTGGCAACGCGGATGTGGGCTACTACTCATGTGAGTACTCCTTGCTGTTCGTTTAACGTGAAGGCTTTGCTTTACAGTTTTACAATTTCTTGATTTCCTTAGTTAAAACCACCACTTGTAGCCTCCTGTGTGAGACATCGCCACTGCGTTTCCTCTTTCCACAAACCTGTTGCTCCTGTTCAGACTTTCCCATGAAGACTGACTGAGTGGCTTCTTGTCTCACCAGCCTATTTATTGTCACAACACATGAAAGCGAAAAACTAATGATAAATATTATGTTTTTACTTTTTCGCCTCCATATGCAGGGCGCTGTCCAAAGCCGATAAAGAACAGAGACGTGGTGACTCTGCGTTCATGGCAGGTGAAGGGGGATGAGTACATTGTTATGAACTTCTCTGTCAAACACCCGGTATGCATCTTCCTCCAAACAACTTAATCTAATGTTCACACATCTGTTTTTCTCACTATTTTTGCAACTTTGTGTGTCTTGCTTGCAGGACTTCCCGATAAAAAGCAAATTTGTAAGAGCAGTGTCCATCCTGACCGGTTATTATGTCAAAGCCACAGGACCAAACAGCTGTATTTTCATTTATCTTTCACAAGCTGACCCAAAAGGTACGGAAACACCAAGCCAGACCCTGAAAATCCTTAGACATTTGTATCTCATTTTTGTGTTTTTCTTGAAGGTTCTCTACCGAAATGGGTGGTGAACAAAGCATCCCAGGTCCTCGCTCCTCGGGTGAGTTCTGCCACAAATTTAAACGGGTCAAGACCGCAACAGCTTAAATCGGCTCGCAAAACGCGTATCGGCGTTCCTGCAGATGTGGGTGTGTGTCCCTTACGAGAACATAAAACGTACACGTGTGAGAGGTCTGAGTTCGTGTCTCATGTGTCTCCAGCAACAATGGTAGCCATAGAAACACAACTGAAGGGCCTGGTCCAGGTAAAACCTGCTGCTGACAAAGGAGAATCTCAGCTCAAGATGTTTCCTGGTCGCCCAGCAGAACCCGTTCCCCAGGTTTCAGATCTTGCATCTGTTGAAATTATTTAGACACGTTTAAAAGTTCTTGGAGCTGCTTATGGCCTGGAGCGAAGCAGAAATGCAGAGCTACAAGCGTCCCCCTTTCTGAGGACGGGAGGCATTATACTTTGAATAGGAGCTGATAAAAAATCTTGGCACAATAAAATCATAAAATGAGAAAACAATGCATTTTGTGAGCTTTGGCGTCATAGCTAGCATGAAAAACAAAAAGGATGTCAACTTCAGCCTCGTTGTAATTCTAGCAGAAACAAAACAAAATCAGTAGAAAGATAAATCAGAAAACATTTATGCACTTCAACACTCGATTCATTGGGAGTGTTAATCATTTTATGTATGAAACCAAGACATTTTCTAATGACTGCATCACATTCTGGTCATTCTGTCCCATGACAATTTTGAACTTCTAAAGCTTTTGCCAGAGAAACTGGACATTTAGTACCAACCATAAGTTATACTTCTGCAAACCCTCAAACGAGTCCTTGTCCTGTTTGCAGTTCTTTATTTTAAAGTTTTGGTCTACCAAAAAGTTGCGTATGTAAATATAATGACCTCGCTTCAGTTCTTGCTTGTAATGTGGATATTCACAACTTCATTTGAAAACTGATTCAGGTTCTTTAATTTAATTTGCTGTATGTTAACTGTGCTGCAAGGAAACATGGTTTACTGCTGCTGCTCAGTTATTTTGGTGTGATCAGAGGTCATAGTTTTGTATCTTTCATATGGATCTGATCATTAACCTGATCTGATAAATGGGGGATCAGATCATTGCTTATGGGATCAGAACCATAAACAATGAAAACAAGTTCCAAAATAAAAGTATATGCATTAAGTTTTTGGATCGTGTGTCTTTCTAGTTGGCTAGTGAAATCTTTGGTAAAGTTTATGTGAGGTAAAGGTTTTATGAGTGTTGAATCACACATAAAACCATTATTTGCTTTTTTATGTCTTTGATCAAAAAGAGACAATGTTACAAAGCAGCCAAATATATAAATGCTGGGTGCTTAATGAGATTCATTTTTGCCTTTTGCGCAGTTTTAAAGCCAGTTAGAATATGTGTAATTGTTTTTCCACTTGGTGAAAGAGTGAGTTTCTCAGTCTTTCTCGTTTGACTAAGCCACCTTCAATATAATCTGTCGCAGTGATACGTAAACCTTTTACCTTCAGCAATGTTTGCTGAGAGTGGAGGTGTGGCAGAAATCTTTTCCGTCATAAAGCAGCCGTTCTGATCGTCATCTCTTATCTTTCCAGGTGTTGAGTAGCGTGCACCAGGCGGGAAAGAACTACCCAGCATGGAAAAAGAAGAACTCTCCGGACGTGAAGGCCTGGCTCAACCCGGAGCAGAACAAGCTCCCCTACATTAACTCTGCCTTGCTGTCCATACAGAGAGCGGACTCTCTCGAAAACGTGGATGAAAGCTCCAAACTGGACGATCAGGACGCTGAAGACAGCAGCTAAAAGTCGCACAAGTGAAAACGGAAAGGTGGCCGAAAAGAGAGATTGGGGGTGACCTGTATATAATGTTTTTTAAAAGAGACTTTAAGACTCCCAGCTTTCTGCGATATCACCGAGATCCTTCAGCTTTATATCAGTGTGCCTTGTAGGAGTATGAAGTGTTTACAAAAGTCTTAATGCAGAAAAGAGCTCTGATCAAGGTACCATTCACCTCTTTGAGTCTAAGCTTGTGTGCAGGAACAGAGGTGGTGGATATTTTTAAAGAAGTACAACACAACGGGTCTGTGGCCAGGGTATTTATTTTCTACCTATGAAAAAAATCACAAAGTTTAATGTGAAGGGAAATGGAGTATGACTGTTAAATGTTGGCATATTGTTGGTGTCTGTAAACTAAAGATTAGACCATGCTTAATTCCTAAAGTGCAACTTTCTATTAGAACCTGAGACTTTCTTTATTTTCGAAACTCATGGCCAGTTAAAATGATACAACGCAGGTTTTGTGTTAGTATGTTGACAGAAATTTGCCAGTTTTTCAGGAAAATACCATGTACTATTTCATTATTGATGGTTAGATTTGTCCCTTTCAATATGTAATGAAGTGCAATGGAGTAACATATGCCAAAGTCATTCCCTCAAAGAGAAACATTTTATGTAAATAGCAATGTCGGTTAACAGTTTGAGTGTGGTTGAAGCCATGATTGGAATTTTATTGTATTTATTTATTACACTAAACTGATGAAGCCACGATTGTAATGATGCCTGTTTGGCTGAAGTTTTTTTTTTATGTTTTCAGAATATTTCAGGTTGACTTTTTAAAAATAAACTAAAAATGCTCGACATACCACAGTGATCATTTCTATTGACTGGATTCCTCTGATAAGGCCGGTTTCTCTGCAGACCGAGTGGAGCGAGTTCTGCGACTCATTCTGGAACAAACCAGTTCGTTTTCAGATCTAGTGCCGGTTCTTCCAGTGCACAGAAAAGCTTCCTGCCCTGGTCATTCATGTTTTACATGCCACGTTGCAAATCATAATGAGTCAAGTTTAAATGATGAACCCAAAATTACAGTTTTAATAAAAGTTTGTGCAAATGCTTGGCAAACTTTTGTATTTTTATGTAATGCACAGAATGTTTCTTAGTGCAGAGTGGCAAACATTTTTGTTTGTACTTTTCTTTTGATATTAACAAATACTGGTATCAATCCAATTAATCTACAAAGAAACCAGAAATTATTCCACAAACTGTGTGCAACCGTTTTCAAGTATTTAAATCAATTCTGCACCTTACTTTGGCACATGAAGCATGTAATATTTGGTAACAACTAAGGGCTTTCTCAACATCTTTGCAGCCTTATTGTTGCAACACATAATACAATTTTTTTAAAGTGTACTTCTGAACCTGAAAGTATCACTTAATTTCTGTGGCCGCACTGCAAAAGACTCCTCTGCTGAAGAAAAAGCATGTAGAAGTATGCTTTAAGGTACAGGTGTGAAACTCGAGCCCTGGAGGGCAACTGCCCCGCAATGTTTAGATGTGCCTCTGCTCAATAGAATAATCAGGTCACTAGCAAGGCTCTGGAAAACTGATCTGCACAAGAAGGAGCTAATTAATTCCAGTGTTTTGTACCTGTGGCACATCTTAAAACTGCAGGACAGCAGCTCTTGAGGACTGGAGTTTGACTCCCCTGCTTTAAGGGATATAGCTGAAAATTTAGACAAGCCAGGAAAAAAAAAGTACTAGGAATGTGTAGTTTGATCAGATAAGATCAGATTAACTCTTTGGAGGTCAGTGTACACCTTGTTTGGAAGAGAATTTTACTTTATATCATCCCAAAGAGGAAATGAGGCTTTCTACTAAGTACTAAATAAGTTACAATATTTGTTCCCTGTGTTAAAATATCTAATTGGCTCATTTGTCATAAATTCCTGGCATGTAATGATTACCTGGGCTGTTACGACACCTGGTGCAAAGTTTATGTCAACATCCTCCAGAGAAACACAAGGGACATTGATACTGAAAGATGAACGTAGTTAAACATGCAGTGCACTGAAATTCTTAAAGAATGTTTCTTTATTATGAACATTTCATAATAAATGTATAACAATGTCTTATGAAGCCATGTTAACCTTTTGGCTCCTGAGTTTGTTCATGTATATTTAATCGAAAAACTGTACAAAAATGGCATAATGTTAAAATTAGTATTCGTATTTACAGTTTTTATAATTTCTTACACAATTACAATATTTGATAAATACTCAAAAACTTGTAAGGTGACGCAAACACAAATATAAAAAATTTATCAGAAGTCTCGCACAATTTGCTCTTATTATTTCCGTCAGTGTTTTAATGTTTTGTTTTAGTGTCTAATGTCAAGATTAGTGCACTAACTGTGCCATTTGGGATTTCAAAATGCTATTAAACATAGATGAGATGTTATCAGTACTAAATTACATTAAAAACTTCTTTTAAAAAAACAATAATGGAGATTAAAATGATACATTTTCAAATGCAAAGCATAACACTATATGATTGGACCACAATGTGGCAGAAACGATGAAATATCGCAGTACATCTGACAATATTTCACCATCTTTCACCACTACACCAGAGAACATGGAGGAGTTTGAATGACACCAACAATCTGTCATCTTGAAGCTGCGATGAAGTGCTTAGGAGTCAGTAGAAGCAGAAAATGACGTCGAATGAAGTGTTTTAGGAACGCTGCTGCCACCTAGTGGACAGTTCTCTCCTTTTGTCTCTGGTAGTCTGATGAGAGGAGCAGAGAAAACCATTATTCAGTTGAAAAACGAATCATTATGAGAGAATTCAGGAAAGCATTTATGTTTTTCTTCTTGAAACTTTTTAAGATCCAACAGATTTTGATCTTAATACGCTGGTGTTACAGCAGGATGATATCTGCTGAGGATCATCCAAATCCTGAGAGATATACTTTTCTTTCAAAATACTCAAATGCAGAAAAAGGTACATAAAGCTCAGGCAGGTTAGGAAAATGGAAGATTTAATCAAAGCCAAACAAGATAGAGCATGTTGACTGGATAGGGTTCAAATTACTAGTTGAATGTGTTTGAGTACAAAGAAAAACATTTATGTTATCACAGCTTAGATCAGTGTTACAACAGGGTTTTCCACACATTTTATCTGATAATGTCAATTCTTTACTCCTCCTGTAGCCTGCAAAAACATTCACTGAATAAAACCAGACAAACCAAATCTGTAAACTTACTTTGTATTTATGAAACAAAACACTTACTGTAGGGAAAGAAGCGAACCTTCATCACAATTTCCCGAGCGGTCTTCAGAATCTCTACCGCCTAAAGAGGGCGACAAACGTTTTCAGTGACTGGTGATTTACTTCACGACTTGCACGACTCGTTCCTCAAACTTTTAAAATGTAACGTGCTTAAACAGAATGGAAGCTTTGTCACAGCTCAGTTTATATCCACGTTTACAAATAATGATCTTCTATCCTCACAATCTCATATAAAATTTCACCACAGATCTCTAGGAAGGAGTTTTGAATGAGGGCAAATTGGGGCAATTGTATTGGCAACTGCTAAAAATGAAAAAAGCGTAAACTAAAAACATTAGACTTTACATTTTAGACTAAATATATCAATATTGTCTTTTGTCAAACCTAAGCAGTGAGATGATAATCCAAATATGTTGCAACTGAACCAGTGGACAATTCAGACCAGATAACATGAAGAAAAATGCACAAAAACTACAACAACACATTTCAGAAACTTCAACTTCCACTGGATCTGCCGTGACTTACTCTCGAGTGCTCTATGTCTTGGAAATCCACATCATTCACAGAGAGAACCTGATCTCCTTCCTGCAATCCTGCTCTGTGGGCATCTGAATCTGGGACCACCTGGCACCACAAAAGACACAAAATAATATTCATTACCACAACAAAATAAAAGTTTAGGAGGCACGCTCACTACGCCTGCACACACCTTGGATATAAAGATCCCTAGTTGCGACGCCTTGCCTCCTCGGATGTTAAAACCCAGCTGGGCTCCTGGAGGTTTCTTCAACACGATGGTGCGAGGGAGGAACTGGGTGAGCTCGTTGTTGTAGTCTGGGTGATGAACCCTCTAACAGGGAACCAAGAAATACACAGTGAAGCCCAGAAACTTACCTACATGGTGTGACTGCTAAAGCAGTTGCTATATGACAGAATAATAAGAGAATTGCTCATTTAAGTTGGATGTTTTAGAGATGTAAGTTTAACAAAAAAAAATGAAATAAAACAGACACCTTATTTAAAACGGTAGCATTACAAGACTAACCCTGTTAACTGATTTAACTGTAAAAGTGTAATGAACAAGTCTAAGCAGGACACACAAGATAATCAGTTACTATTATCTGTTATCGTTACCGTCTTTGTCCAAATGTTACTCAACCAGGAGAAACCGTTAAGTCTGTCTGTACATCCTTACCAGAGTTCAACAGCTTTCAGATGCGATAATATTTGAAGACATCGTCATATTTTCAGCAAAAGGTGAAAGTCAGTTGACTTCTAAATACTGAACTGAAGCAGCAAAACAAATATTGTTTCCTGTGTGTCAGGTCATACATCGCTCCTGCCTTTGGTCCGTCTGTATTTGAACATTTTGAGTTTGTCTTTTTCTTTCTAAGCTGAAACTATCAACAATTTATAAACCAACAACTTGTCCTTTGACATATTTTCTTCTCACTAACTGAAAGCTTTGTTTTAAACATGTCTTCATGGTAGAAGACCCATTTAAAGTTGATGTTTATTTCCACGTTGATGGAGAAACTTGTCTTAGATGATATTCTGTTGAATTTTAGGAACAGATGCTTCTCTGCTACTGGTTCGAATCAACTTTATTTATTTCAGTGCATTTCAGTATTTTTATTTGACTAATTTAATAATGCATGCTTTTCTCCACTCTAATTTTCCTTCAAATTTCAAATGGACTCATGCAATAAGTGGTTTGACTGAATTTGTGAAGCTCTAGGCTTTTTTATATTTCAAAACAAAGATTTTCTGTAATTTCTAGTAAATCCTTAGACACAAAAGAAAACGTCAACACTGTATACAAAGAGATAGGAAGTAATAAAACTCTTAGGAAATTAAAAAAAATAAGTTTTGATGTGTTTACATATAAATTAAATAAATTCATCAAAAGGTTCTTCAATAAAACATCCTTATGCTATATCATATAGGTTGAGTTACTGCTAATAGTTAATGTCACTACCTTTCTGTCAAGGAAAGTAATTGTAGCCTGGACAATAAATAATCTGCATGCCCTTTTCCAATCTTCAGATCCTTAATTATTCCCCAGGGGCTGTAATTGTAGCTGGCCATGCTCTGGTAGCCTGCTAAAATCAGAAACCAGTTATTTTCTTTCGGCTCAGCAGCTGGGCAAAGGGCTATTTTTTTTAAAACCAGTACTGTAAACTTAGCTCTTGGCAAAAATTCAGTATCCCACTGTTCCTATGGGCTCCTACACTTTTTTCTTACTCACAAGAATGACAGATTTGGTAGTTTGCAAATACTTCAGACAGCAAGTATTTGTGTTAAAGACTTCATCCATCACTCTTTATAAGGCAACACAGTTTTAAAATTACACTTAGTCATATCTGTTAAATAAAGTACTCTAGCCAACAGCTGACTAATTAACTACCTAAAATCGTCATAATATTCTTGTCTCACTCCATGACAGAAACACGCAGTGTGCGAGACATGTTCTTAAAAGACAAAGTCAGTTAAGATTCTGCACAATAAGCACTTGGGAACTACTACTAAATTTAGTCATATTTCTGTTACATAATTTTATTATTAATTTTCACAAACAGAAGAAAAGGTGTCACAGATTTAAAAATTGAATTTAAGATAAGTGTTTAGTTTTAGGTTAATGTTATGATTTATATTGTGTGTGATATTTTATCCTGACATGTTGTTTTGTTTTCTTTTAAACTGTTTCATGTTATTTAAGGTCCATCTAGGGACATGCATTGCAAACTACCTAATGCTATAACTGTTAGTGTTTAGTTTTTGCTTAGACTTAACATTTGTCTCCATGCAAATAAACAAAGAAAACAAGAAGAAACTACTGAATAACCAAGGTTCAAACTTGGAAAGTAAAAGAGTTATAGTTTTAATTAAAAAAATAAACTACAAATGGCATATTTATTTCAATAGTTTATGTCTCGTCTTACCTCCTGAGGAGGAATCCAAGCCGGTGGGTTTTCATATGAAGGCAGGAAAACCACTGGGAGCTGATAGTCATCATAAGGAATCTTCTGATCCATCGTTCATTTGAACTCCTAGCGATACACAAGTTCATCAATATCTAACATTCACTGCTCATTTCTACCAGAAATGTCTCGTAAGAAATCGGCACTATATTAACCTAAGCAGAGTTCAGTAAAACATCTTTTATGTCTTATTAAAAACAACTGAAAACTCATATCAGTTAGCAGTTGCTACAAAATAGATGCTAACCCAAGCTACTTCGGCTGGACAAACCAACTTTTCAACACGTTTCAACCACATCTTCAGTTTCTAATCTGTATCTCAGCATTGTTACCCAAATTTCTTAAATGATTGCATAGCATATTTTGAAAAAATATGAAAAGAGAAAGATGAAAGTTTCTGTTACCTGCCTGGTAAGCTAACAGTTTGCGCTTCTTCTCCTTCTTCTCCTGCGTCACTAGAGGAATCCAGCTCGTTGTCGCCACCTACTGCCAGGAATCATTATCAACTTTTTTCTTCTATTAAAATATGAAGAAAACCTATTCTAACAAGTTCTTATTTTAAAAATAACGAAAAGAGACGCCCTCACATATAAAAAAAAGTATTAAAACTAAGTAATTCAGTTGTACTGTTTGCTAATGAGACTTACACTGGGGAATATGTGTTCTTGACATGTTAATAATTACATACTTTATTGTTTTTTGTGATTAATCACACTCCGAGTCTTGTAGGATGCCTTACTGTTCGATTCATACTACAATTTAAGCTTGCATGACTAATATCACCTTTCATCTTTCTCCTTAAATTTTCTGACATACTCACTGTTTCTTTTAATAGAGTAATATATCTTACTGCCAGGAAGTTTTACTCCTCTTTTTTACAGATTTTTTAATTTCCTCTCATCAGTCCAGGTTTTTTTATAAGACACACATAAATCTGTCATTGTTTGTTTGTTTTTTTAACACAAGCCTTGGTGTTTGTTTGGGGTTTTTTGTTTTTTCTGTTTTTGCATATTATTCCACCCACATTCCCAAGAAGCACAGCACAAGTTCAGCCAAACATTTCCTGACAATGACAACTGCTCTTCTGTTTAGCTTCTTGGAAAAAGCAACAAATACAAGAGGGACGGTTTGCAGACATGAGATGAAGTGTTGACATTTTAAGAACATTTTCTTCTTTAAGTTTCCTCATAGTTTAATGCCACACATTGTCATCATTCCAGTTAAGAAAATCCAACTGTGTTTTGTTTCCCAACATCTTGCCAATACACTGCCTAAATAATGATTATGTGCATCATTAAATGTTGCATGAAAGCCTGTCTAATGATAGTTGAGAAATTCAGGGAAATTGGAGCTGTGATGGTTACAAAGTCATAAAGGTGCTGGGAGGAAGGACCTGAGACAATGCTTCTTTGTTCCCATAGTAAAGATATGCAATATGATAAATATTATGTAGAACCAAGTAGGAAAAAAAGCTAAATTTCCTTATATTTAAGCATTCTTGAGGTTTATACAGATCTTTTCTAAAACTCCTGAAACTACTTTTTTAGTTTCAGTGAGAATGCCTGCAGCAGCATTCTGGATCAGCTGCAGCAACTCATGTTTTGCTTACATTTGGATGCAGTTCATCCACACAACAATTTGGTCATAGGTTAATGTTGCTGTTTATATTTGATTTTCTGAAATAAAATGTAGCTACAGTCATCCTGATTAATACAGTTTCAGATGTGTATCACTAAATGGCAAATCTTTAACTGTAAAATAAGAATTTCTGTCTCATCTTACTTTTAAAAATATACATTTCTGATGTTTAATGAGATAAAAAAAGGAATAAGTGAAGACTAGACTGGTTCATCTTCTCATATTTCACTTCCAGCTTTCCGGTCATGTTACTCAGCCAATCTAACAGGAAATAAGAATTAGTTTGGTAAGTATCTGTTAGTCATTTGAACCATTTCTTATGTCGTCTTGCCTAATGCCTGGTTGTCTTTCAATACCAACTCAGACCCTGTCCTGGTTTGCTTTCTAATCTCCCATCTGTTTCAGATTAGCTTATCTCTACACCTGTCCTGCATGTAGGAGTTTATTTCCACCTCTATAGTTTTTTTTTTACTCCTCGGCTTCGTGTTCAGTGCCTGTTGGTTGTCAACATTTTAACTGATGTGTTTGGTTTGGATCCTGTTCTATTATAATTTAGTTTCCTTAAATATCAGTTTGCTTGTTTTCTTCATGGGAAACTCAGTAAGTCCTTGATGTTTGTTAAATTAATTATTGTCTGGGATTTTACTTGCATTTACATTGAGAATTAATTAATTTCAAATTCCTATGTTTCCATATTATGGTGTTCAGGAATAATCTCAAATACAATTCCAGTCTTCATTTGAGGTTTTTTTTTTTTAAAGATAATTACTTTTAATTAAAGATGATATTGAGACTAGAAAAATTACAACTGTACAAGCAATTATTTATACATTCATTGATTTTATTTGGTTTCACAAATGTGTAAATAAACCAAACTCAGACTTGGAGTTTATTAAACATAAATCATCAAAATACCAGAGGATACAAGCAAAACGCTGGTCAGCACTAAAAAGAAGAGTTTAATCAGTTTAAAGGCTAAATAAATTGTTTGTTAAATTGTTCCACAAAAGATAGAAATATCTTAATTTAGAATTTAAATGTGAATACATTTTTTCTAATATGATATCCTACTTTTATTGTCTTATCTTGTTTGGAGACATATTTTTCATTTCCTGTCAGAAACAAACTGCCTAATTAAATATAAATAGATTTAAATCTAAAATATGCCTGAGGTACAAAAATATTTGGCCTCCCTCGTTGTTACAAGCTCTGATGCGAAGCAGATGGTCTAAACATGCAGGGTTGTGCTTAAACTTCACTTCTACATGTTGCAGCTGGTGCAGGTACTATGAAAGTGGTTTTTTTAAAATATATATTGTTATTTTCCGGGCCATGGGGGTAACTTTTATTTCAACTGCTTTTATAGGACTGTGTCTTGTGCACTGCGCTTTCAAAGCAGTCCAGTTGTTTTGTTAAAAGCACATTGTTAAAAAGATTAAACATCTTTAAGCAGAGGCTTCGCAGAAGTCTGGTGGTTCTCCTTTTTATTTCTGTGGCTTGGATGTCAGCAGTTCAAAGGGTTCATGGAGATTGTGTGAAGAGTTGCTGTCAAATGGATATGTGGGGATGCTGGTAGGTTTGACATTTGTTCTCTAAAATGTTTGGGGCTCATTTCTGGGAAAATAAGATTCTATAATGATGTTTTAAAATAGTGTTGCTGGAAAATAATATCTCTGATCTACATCTTTCAGCAGTGGAAAATGAGCTGGAAATAAAAAAAAAACATTGCATAAAGGACAAGTTGGTGCTTTGACACCTGAAGAAGGATCTTATCAGCCTTTTTATTTATTTTTCATTTTGTTTTCATTACGTTTGTGGATTCCAATGTCTTGAATGCACCTTCATTGATGTTCCTTTTGAAAAAAAGGTTGTTGGTTTACTTTTACATTATGATGCTAGATGTTCCTGGATTCCAAACGAAACAATGGAGGTGATCTCAAGTTTGCTTTTCATTTCTGCAGCTATTCTGTTTAACATCTTGTCTTTCTGTGCAAGAAACTGGTGATGACCTAGAAACCTTTAACGGACTCTTACTGCCTCAATTTTACACGGGTTTAATTCGTGTGTATGGAGGCGTAATCTAATCTCTAAGCTAAAAAAAAAACTAGAAACGCAAAAATAAAGAACTTAGAACGCTACAGTTACATTCCTTGAACATGTCCATTGCATGTTTTGTTGGGGTTGCTGGATGAGAGGCAGTGCCTGCTTTTTTGTGAATCCATATTCTGGACGTTTTTCAAACGGCTCATTTTCCAGACACCAAAAAATATATGGAATATATGGAAGTACAAAAATGTGAATTTTGAATTTTTTGTACCCTTTAAGATATTGGAACTTCAATGAAACACAGTGAGAGTCATTTTGCAGAAATTAAGAAAATGTCTGAGATGCTAACCTTCCCAGGTGGATTACTTCTGCATAGTTCAGTTGACTCATCAGGAAAGTAAGAAAATAACTTAGAATAACACTGAAAGCAGCTCAGATTCCACTACATTTAGGTTCTTGGTCTGTTGAGAGTTGTTTAACCACAACAACAGAATAATTCTGTGAGATTTTTTTTTTTTTTTTTTTTAAACTGGTTTACTGAGTTCTACCTGGTGAAATATATGACTTTGTACTGATATTGCCTTAGGAAATATTATGTGACTAGGGTGGCATTAAACACCTTTGGTATTAATTTGAATAGCACAAGTGGAGTCTAAGGTAACAGTAAAGTAAGACGAAGACTGACATGATTTATGGCTAAAGTTTCCTGATGAAACAATGAAAGTGACATGCACACCCCTGGAGAGCACAGCCATGTTTTTGTAGCAGTTTGTGAGAGGCACACGTCAAACAGGAAGAGCAGCAATGTGGAATCTGATAGCACGTCCACTTTTACCAGCATATGTACTACATTGGAATAAAATCAGTTTGGGAATAATTATTCCAAAATACTGGACTTTTAAAAACACCCAAAGTTATGATATGAAGCAGATCTTTGTGGCTTGATGCAGTTCTGATTAAGCCTCTTCTTCTGCAAGCAGCTCTTGAATCTTAGTGATTTTCAACTCTTGATCAAATTGTTAAAAACTCGTAAATCACTTATGATTTATTGCCTCTTATTAATTAATTCCCAGGCTCTTCTCTACCTTTGCTAGCTAGTTTACCGCAACGATAACTTACACAATATGTAATTGCGTAACTTTATCTTTTAAAATAATTTTATCATAAAAGTTAACTCATCATTTCTCTTTGTCTCAAAAGGAAGACCAAATGTAGGCAGAAGAGGAGCAAAAAAAAAGGCCTTTAATAGACAAAACGTAGTTTACAGAAACAACATTCAAGGCTGAAAATCCAGAGATGTGAACTGAAGTTAACTAAATAAGTTTAAAAGCAAACCAGCAGAAGAATCAAGCAGTGTAGAGCAGAATGAATGCTTTGCACTGCAGATCCAGTTTTCAGCACTTTTACTTTTGCAGCAGGTGCAGCGATTTCTGCTTCAAGTTGAAACTTTCCTTTTTCCTCTGGTGTCCTCTTGTTCTTCAGTTTTTCTTTGAGCATATTTTGACATGTGAGCAAGGCAGCCATTTCAGCCTCTGCCCTGAGATGTGCAGATGAAGTTGATGATACTTTGGAGCTTCACCTGCTTCTTTGATTTGAAACTGTCAGATGGCAACACATCCTAATGAATGTCATGCTGGAGACTAGCAGATAATTGAGGTTCCATTTGATCTTGAACTTCCATTTCTAATGGAGTTTCCTGTGACCGTAATGCATCAGAGGATGGCCAGTAGGAGCATTTATTTATTTCAGAAAACCATATTTAAACATCCTCAATAAATCCCTTATTGTATTTAGTG